AGTGTCATTGGCGAGTAAAGCAAAAAGAAATTCAAAAGAGAAAAAGACTCATTCAACAAATTGGAGTACGAAAAGAAGAAGAAAAGAATCAGAAAAGAAAAAAAAAGAAAAAGAAAAAATTCAAAAAGAGAAAGCAAGCCAAGGAAAAGTGCTCTACCATTACAAATACATCAAAGAGGCATATCTACACTAAGAGAAGATAACCTTATTGTTTTCTTGAGAAAGGTTACAATAATTGTTGTTTCTTGAATTGTAAGTCACCTCTTCCTTTTCTATCCTTTCATTTTCCTTGTCTTCAACCATTTCATTTTTTTAAATACCTTTGAATCATTTCTTCTACCTTTCCATTTCTATTCTTTTCTACCATAACCTATTTTGCAGCCGATGCACACAAGGAAGAAATTAACTTGTTATAATCTTGAGTAAGTTCTTCAAAGGACTTAGCAAGAGAAATTGGAGTGGAAAAAGGCTAATTGAGAGAGTGAGATCAGAAGGGGAATTGTTAAAAGCCAAGATATATTCCCGAGAGTAAACACGAGTGTTGAGTGGAGTGATCTTATCATTTCTTTGGAGTGAACTCTTGAGACTTTGTGAGTGTGCTGGTAAGTTTTTAATTTTTATTTAATTTTTTTTACTAACAAATGTCTTGTGATTTTTCATCTTTCCAAACCTTGGAGGACAAACAGCAAAGAACAAATACATTTCACACTCGTTGCCATGTAAATGGTAAAGTGTGTCTTGTAACTATTGACGGAGGGAGTTATACAAACATTGCAAGCACATACATGGTGAACAAATTGGGGCTTACGACAATTAAACATTCCAGCCCATATGACTTGTAATGGTTGGACGACGAGGAAGAGTTAAGGGTCACTGAACAAGTACTTGTGCCATTCTCACTTGGAAGTTACAAAAACAAGATTCTATGTGACGTAGTGCCTATGAATATGAGTCATTTACTCTTAGGGAGGCCATGGCAATTTGACAAGCGGGTTGTCCATGATAGATTTACAAATCAGTATTCATTCATCCAGAATGAACGAAAAGTCATATGGACTCCATTATCTCCTAACCGAGTGAATGAAGATCAAAATACCTTGAGGAAAAACATTGAAGCAATGAAAGAGCAAATTAAAGACAAGCAACTTGAAGAAGACGTTGGAGTTGAAAATGAGAGGAGTGAAATTGGATCCAAAGAGGAGAATAAAGAACAATTTTTATCTAACATTACTTTTTCTCCTATTCTTCCTTTTGTTTTGCAGGACAATTCAAGAGACATATCTTTTTAAGGAGATGATTCAAGAATCATGTCTTTTGGAGGACTAAAAGATGTGACTTTTGAAGAACATATAGTTGATACTTTTGATCCACAAAACATGTCTCTTGATGTTTCAAAGATGACGCCATTTGAAGTTCCAAAAGAAACGTCATTTGAAGTGCCAAGAGTTGTGTTCGTTGACATTCCAAGTGCATTGCCAATCGCAAAAAGAATTCAGCAACCAACTCCTATTAAACATCCACCTTGGTTTGATGTTTCCATTCATCTTGTTAATAATTTCTTATATTTTAACTTTGATTTACTTTGCAGGAATTTGAGTTATGTACATGGTATTATCTTACCAAACGTTAATGACAAGATTATTTGTCGTTATAAGCTTGATTGGTGCATTGAACTCAAGCATTTCAAGAAGTTTCAAAGGTTAAGACTCTCCACAAACCATCATGATGATTCAAAGAGTGGAGATGAAGATATACATATTCGTTTTAACGAATATGATGTGTCGGATCAATGAGATATTCTAAATGATTCAATTTGTCAAATGGAGGAACCAAAAGGCGTGTTCCTTGGAAGCTTAAGAGAATTATCTTCTCAAGAACTAGAAGATATGGCTTTTCATTTAAAGGACGTGATCTTTGGGAAACCAAAGAATATGTCTTTTAGAGTGCAAAAAGAAGTGATCATTCAAAACAACATGTCTTGTGATTCAAATGACATAACTTTTGGCTATTCAAAACATGAGAACAAGGAGTACAATTTTCACTTGTTCATAATTAACAATTCTCTTACTTATGAAAGTTTCTTATCTTTTCAGGTCATGGACATTCAAGGAACCTATTCAAGGTATATGACTCTTGATAAGAATCCTTTCATAAAGATGATATGTGGAAGCAAACCAGCAATGATTGAATGGGCGTACAATTTGGAGAAGTCATATTTCGATTTGAGGACAAATCACCCAAAAGAAGGGGATGATGATGTGATCCTGTTTAGCACCAACTTTCTGCATGACATACTCACATTATTGAAGAACCATCAAACTCAATATAAGGGAGTTCTACCATACTTTATATATTATATTTACTTATTTATGCACTATATATATATTATTATGAGCATACAACAACAACAACAACAACAAAACCCAATTCTCATATGTATGGGGTAAGGGGGAGGTAGGGTAGTAGGCTACCCCCAACGCCAGGTTGAGAGTAACTTCCGTGGAAGACCTCCGGCAGTCAGAAAATTAAAAATTTAGATAAAATGCAATGCATGTATAAATAAATACATAAATACATAGCTAAACAGTATTCATATGCAGTCATTAAAATCATATGTGCGTCTGTAACGGGAATTAATCCCTGCATAATAATCCCTGCGAAAGAATCTCTGCATATAGACAGAAACATAAGATAAGATCCGGCTAAATTTAAAAGAGGAAACATGAAGAGAATGATACACAGAAGTCAACGTTAGCAAGCCCAGTTCTAATCCTTCATAAATACCAATAACAGAAACGTATAAAAAGTATAAGTCATGGAAAATACTACAAAGACATTAAAAGAAGACAGAGATGATACACCCTATAGATGTGACCCACACTACTCGACTACCCTAGTCTTTAGCCTCCATATTTTCCTATCAGAGGTCATGTCTTCGGTAGGGGCTAAATCCCTCAAATCAGATCTCAAGCAGTCTTCCCACTTTCGCCTTGGTCGTCCTTTCCTTCTGGCACCGTCAACTGTAATCGACTCTACCCTCCTTACCGCATCCGATGGTACTCGCCTAAGGACATGCCCAAACCACCGTAGTCTTCCCTCCCTCAATTTTTTAGAAACAGACACCACCCCCAAGGACATCCTAATAGCAGAGTTTGTCGTCATATCCCTCAGAGTCTTACCACATGTCCATCGAAGCATTCTCATTTCTGCGGCCTCAATCCTCCTTACGTGATCCTTCTTGGTTGCCCAACATTCTGATCCATACAACATCGCTGGTCTTATTGCCATTCTATATTATTATGAGCATACATTTGCATATTAGACTATACTTGAATTATCATAGTATGTGCATTCATTCATTATATCCTATGGTTTGTATCATTGATTGATATTCATGTATATAATCTATAGTTATAATATTAATATTCATTCATTATCATATGATGCATGAGTTATTATTATAACCTATAGTTCACATCTTTATAATATGCACATCATTATATTATATGCATTATATAGTTTATATACTTAGTTTATTTCTTTATGTTATGCATATAGGAATATTCGGCCAACACTTGGGAGCTACATTTGAGCTTAAATAAGGATACAGAGCTAGGAAAACTTACATAGGATGACTCGGGAGATCATGAAGAACAAATGGTGAAAAGTTATCAGCTGACCCCCGAGCTCATAGCTCACTTGAGCTGGACCTTTGAGCTAGCTAGAGACCTCATTTCAGCTGGAGAGTTGCACCATCATCACCACCACACAGAGTACTTCAAATATGGTCTAAGTCAATTTTTGTGGATTCGTACCTTTTCGCGAAGAGTTGCCATTCCAAGAGGTGCCTTTTCACAAGGAGCTGGCCAAAGACTAATCTTCATGTAATTCACCTATGACCAGCTCATCTTCAGCTCATACACACGGGAAGTAGCTCAAATGATGAAAGGTTACCTTCCACAAATGTGACCTTTCATGACAAGTTGCTTCCCATTGAAGACCATGACACCTAGATACATGTTAGAAGCCAAGTCACGCCTAGTTGCTACCATCTTCATTCCAAGGACTTCAAGACATTATCCTATGGTTGCAACCTCACCAAAGCCTTGTAAGAAGACCCATGTGCGTTCAAGTAGGCTTCCATGTGAATCATTCAAGCATGTGCACTTCATGTGACATCAAATTGGCACCAAAACACCAAGGGATGCTTCCTATTTGGCCAAAGACTCATTCCTCTCAATTTTGGCGCCCAAATAACTTTTAAATGCATTCAAATCATCCTTAGGGCCGAACCAACACATAACCATTCGGCCAAGAGCATGTATCTTCATTAAAATCATGTATTTTCATCAAAAATCATGTATTTTCAAAGGGGTTTCATCCATGGCTGAACCATCATGTATCAATTCGGCCTAAACCCTTTGAAAAACTATAAATAGGTTAGTGCATTTCATTTGTAATCAGCTCATCTCATATATTAAAAATTACTCTTGTGAGTTAATTTCTCTTCAAAGTTCTTTGTGAACTTTATCGATTAAGCAAGTATAATTTCCTATACTTGTGGCGTCATTCCTTCCAAATTGATTCCTAAATTCCTAGATTAATATCTAGTGGGTTGAAGACACTATCACCACCCCTCAAGCAAGTTTGTGAAGATCGGGATTGTGCTCTTTAGAATTGTTTCATCTTTGGCGTGTTTGAGATACAAATCACTACCATTTCCATTTCATCAACAACACCATCATCAACATCCATCAAGACCATCAATTCCGCAGCCATCTCTTTCATTTCTTTCTATTTCATTTCCTTTATTATATATTCATTTCTTAAGACCATTATTAATATCATTTCTTTCTTATATTTATTGCAGCCAAGCTTATAATTCAAGGACATCAGTACTTGTCAATCCTAGATCGGGACACAATAAGGCTATCTACTCTCTTCTCCCAAAGCGTGTAGATTTGCCTTACATCACTAAGCTTAGTCAACTGCCTGGTGAAATGGCTATTGGACACTTGAGATATTCGACCGCTGGTTCTTCCATGTTGAAAAATGTGCAGCCTTTTGTTGTTGGTTATAGGTTTACGTCTGTTGGGGTTGCACACAATGGGAATTTGGTGAACTATACAGCTTTGAGACATATTCTCAAAGATAATGGTTCGATTTTTAATACTAGTTCTGATACTGAGGTTGTGCTTCATTTGATTGCTATTTCCAAGGTCAGTCCTTTCTTTTTGAGGATTGTTGATACTTGTGAGAAGCTTGAAGGGGCTTATTCGATGGTGTTTGTGACCGAGGATAAGCTAGTTGCGGTCCGCGATTCCCATGGATTTAGGCCTTTGGTTATGGGTAGGAGGAGGATAAGCTAGTTGCGGTCCGCGATTCCCATGGATTTAGGCCTTTGGTTATGGGTAGGAGGAGTAATGGTGCTGTTGTGTTTGCTTCCGAGACCTGTGCTCTTGATTTGATCGAGGCAACATATGAGCGAGAGGTGAATCATGGTGAAGTTCTGGTGGTGGATAAGAAGGATGCGGTTCAGTCCCTTTGCTTGCTGCCTCACCCTGATGCGAAACAATGCATTTTTGAGCATATCTACTTTGCTTTGCCTAACTCTGTTGTCTTTGGAAGGTCGGTTTATGAGTCACGACATGCTTTTGGAGAAATACTTGCGATTGAGGCTCCGGTCGACTGTGATGTTGTGATTGCTGTGCCGGATTCCGGAGTGGTGGCTGCTCTTGGTTATGCAGCCAAAGCAGGGGTGCCTTTTCAGCAAGGGTTGATCAGGTCACACTATGTGGGAAGGACTTTCATCGAGCCTTCGCAGAAGATTAGGGACTTTGGTGTTAAGCTTAAGCTTTCACCGGTTCGAGGTGTGTTGGAAGGTAAAAGAGTTGTGGTTGTTGATGACTCGATCGTGAGAGGAACCACATCATCAAAAATCGTTAGGTTGCTCAAGGAAGCAGGGGCTAAAGAAGTTCACATGAGGATCGCAAGCCCACCGTTTATCGCCTCTTTCTATTACGGAGTGGACTCACCGAGCTCAGAGGAGTTGATATCGAATCAAATGAGTGTGGAGGAGATTCGAGAGTTCATCGGATGTGATTCTCTCGCTTTCCTTCCATTCGATAGCTTGAAGAAGATGCTGGCTAGTGATTCTCAAACCTTCTGCTAATCTTGCTTCTCCGGGAAGTACCCGGTTATGCCAAAGGAGGTTAAAGTGAAAAAAGTCGGTAATTTCTTGGATGATGGATTGAACGTTTCTATAGATTCTATTGATGGAGGATGAGTTAAAGGTCCAAAAAATATCAATATCGAGAAAGAAATCGATCCAATGTATCAACAGAGCAAGATTTAGCATTGGATCAATCATTTATGTGTGGTCAGTGATAGATGGTTTTGATTTCTTTGCTGTTAACAATCTAAAGCCTATACAGTTTTGATTTCTTGGCTGATAAACAACCCAAAGCTTGTACAATCATTTATGTCTCATTTATGTTTGATTCAACATGTTCCAATTATGAAATGGAAACTATTTACAATGATTTAAGCTTTCTTTTGTTGATGTACAATATCTGTTAGTTGGCTCCTTGTATGATCAATTCAAGTGAGAAATAGCATCCAAGAATACATTTTCATGGCAAGGTACTGTAATACCTCTCGTCGGATGATCAAACCGAACTTTTCTTCGGCTTTGCTCAGCAAACCCTGAAACAAAGGTTGATTCGAAAAGGATGAATCAAAAATCTCCTCTTTTGATGCATCCAAAGAAGTTATGAAAAATAAATTCCGATTGAATGATGTGATTACAGTCATTTTCCATACTGGTTAATTGAAGTTACAGTAACCATCATCTTTGATTTTCCTCTTAGAAAGCTTGTATGTATCTTCTCCCCGAAGAAAAAAGGATGGCAGAAAGTGTTTACATAGTATTAGATGTTTGCTATTCAAAATTGTGTTTGCTAGTTTGTGCTAATTATCTCAGTCAATTCAGGCGAAAGGTAACATCGAGAAAGAGGTCTTCGTTGCAGGGAATAGTGAGACCACCAGTAGGGTGAGTATATCCGAACTCTTCTTCTGACATGCCTAGCAAATCTTGAAACGAAGGCTGGTTCAAGAACGACACTGGTATCACAAATCTCTTCTGGTTCTCACCAACATAAACTGCGAAGTAGCCCTTGGGAACTTTCTTGGAGCTCACGATACGAGGCAGGCGGATAGCCATTGTTGTTTTCGAGGAATGTATAAATGGGAAGACGGGGAAGATCTCAGAGAACTCGGAAAGAAAAGGTAAGGATCTTAAGTACATGAGAATGTGAAGGTAGGTGTTGCCAACAAACTTATTCTTACTTGTATATATAGATATAAGGGTCAGAAGGAAATGTGGAATGAATGGTGAAGGGGCAATTGCTGGGGTCTGATCAGTAATGAGAGAGACAGTTTCATGAGGATCACATGTTTTGGTCGTTCAGACAAAATAAACCGACTAAGGACCCACTCAAATATGGATGATTTGGATCCTTCAAAAGCTTCTTCGGACTTTGAAGAGCTGTACTACTTCGCCATTATTGATAAGAGTGACCGATCACCTTATGGTTTACAGCAATCATGTTGATTGAGTGAAGAAGAGAGAACCCCTAAGGAAGATCTTTCAAAGACATTTTGCATTAAGCATCACATGGCCTTGTCCTCCAAATGACGATCCATTTGCAGCGAATACGATATCATTGAATCATGTCCCGTTAGTGTTGATAATAACTTTTGCCTGGCAGATCATATGGATGAAACATTTTGATGCAAGATAAGCAAAATGAGATTGGATACTGATTGTCTTTGAGTTGACATGCTACCCTGCATATGTTTGCTGCTGATTAGGATTGAAGACCAGAGCTGTTAGTTGATCCATATGATCCGCTAGGCAAAGTTATTATCAACACTAACAGGACATGATGATTCAATGATATTGTACTCATTGCAAATGGATAATCATTTGGAGGACAAGGCCATGTGATGCTTAATACCAAATGTCTTTAAAGATCTTCCTTAGGGGCTCTCTCTTGGCCACTCAATCAACATGATTGCTATAAACGATAAGGCGATTGATCATTCTATAAATACACCTATGTATGATGGGTAGCCAACCTGTGCCAAAAGTTCAAAAAAAACATATCCTTCTTCCATCTAGTTCTACTTGTAAAACCATGGGTTTTCGGTTGCCGAGAATTGTTAATGCTAAGGCTAGTCTAAAACGGTGTCTTTCATCTCCGGAGACCACGGTATCGGTGCCGATAGGCCACTTTGCTGTTTATGTTGGAGAAGCTGAAAGGAAGAGATTTGTTGTGCCGATTTCATTCCTCAACCATCCTTGCTTCCAATATTTGTTGAGTCAAGCCGAAGAAGAGTACGGATTCGATTATCCTATGGGCGCTCTAACGATCCGTTGCACCGAAGAAGCTTTCGTTGATCTCATTGGGAGTCAACAGAGCCCATGAGAGTTGGATATGGAAGTGGCTAACACTAAGACTCAACCGACAAATACCAATTTTGTACATCAATTAGCAAGTGCATATGGTGGATTCGATTATCCTATGGGCGCTCTAACGATCCCTTGCGAACTATTCTTTGTAACCAGTGTATTAAATGACTATTTTTCTTTGTTCTTCTCATCAATTCTTGTTTATAGTGGTAGCTATGTACTAATACAATTGCTTGTGAACTCAAAATCATTCATGATTGGATATTACTAACTCATCTTAACAAGGAAACTTGCCTAGCAAGGTGTTATTATATTACTAACTCATTTTAGTAAATATATCGGAACAGGACAGGACGAGTTTCGCCTAAATCTAACTCCGAAAATTTTACAAAAATAAAACCATCCTGACCCTGAATGAAAAAGCTGACATCGATCGGATCGGGGAATATTGTCATTCCTATCACCAGGGCTATCAAATCAACTCAACTACCATCAACGATCAATACTATTTTGATTACTTCAAAATGTTTCAGCCATATGATCTGCCAGGTGAAGTAGCTATCAACAATAACAGACCATGTATGTTTATTTCAAGCGGATCATCATTGTTGGTTTCACTCAACGGCAAGGCATATATATTGCGACAGAGCATCGAGGGTTAGTTTGTGGAAAACTATATCATTATTTTGAAGGCATGTGATAACTACCATTAAGGCTAGTTTAAAACAGTCTTTCGTCTTCGGAGAACACGGTCTTAGTGCCCAAAGGTCACTTTGGTGTTTATGTTGGAGAAGCTGAGAAGAAGATATTTGTTGTACCGATTTCATTCCTCAACCATCCTTCCTTCCAGGTTTTATTGTGTCAAGGCGAAGAAAAGTACGGATTTGATCATCCTATGGGCGCTTTGACGATCCCTTGCACGGAAGAAGCTTTTGTCGATCTCATTGGCAGTCAGCAAAGCTCGTGAGAGTTGATATCAAAGCTCATGAGCTTTTCGCATTTGCTTTTGGATGGAACTTAAATGATTACTTTATGAAGACATATATCGAGTTCCAAACGATTGTATTAGTACACAGTCAACATAGGAAACCAGATCGATGATTGAGAAAACTGTCATTTCATATATTGGTTACAAAAAGAATACTATTTAAGTTCACAAGGGAATGGGATTGCAAAAAGCAATCCACCATTTGCACTTGTTAATTTCTAAATAAAATTGGCATCTCTCAGTTGAGGTCGAGTGTTAGACATTTCCATATCCATAGCTCTCATAAGCTTCGTTGACATCCAATGAGATCAATGAAAGCTTCTTCGGTGCAAGGGATCATTAGAGCACCCATAGGATGATCAAATCCGTATTCTTCTTCGGCTTGACTCAACAAATTTTTGAAGCAAGGATTGTTGAGTAATGAAACCGGTACAACGAATTTCTTCTTTTCGGCTTCTCCAAAATAGACAGCAAAGTGGCCTTTGGGCACTGATACTGTGATCTCTGAAGATGAAAGACTCCATTTTAGATTAGCCTTAGCATTAACAATTCTCAGAAAGAGAAATCCCATGGTTTTACAAGTAGAACTAGAAGGAAGAGAAGGTATTTTCAGATTTTAGAACTTTTGGCACAGGTTGGCTACCCATCAGACATAGGTGCATTTATAGAGTGATCAATCGCCTTATAGTTTATAGCAATCATGTTGATTGAGTGGCCAAGAGAGAGCCCCTAAGGAAGATCTTTAAAGACATTGGCTATTAGGCATCACATGGCCTTGTCTTCCACATGGTGATGTAGCTTCAGACAAATTAGACCCACCATAGTGTTCTTGTGGCAATCTACAATGCCTTAAATTTCAATGAAACCAAAAATGATGATCCATTTGCAACGAATACTATATCATTGAATCATGTCCTGTTAGTGTTGATAATAACTTTTGCCTGGCAGATCATGTGTATGAAACATTTTGATGCAAAATAAGCAAAATGAGATTGGATACCGACTGTCTTTTGAGTTAACTTGCTACCCTACATATGTTTGCTGCTGATTAGGATTGAAGACCAGAGCTGCTAGTTGATCCATATGATCTGCTAGGCAAGGTTTTTATCAACACTAACAGTACATGATTCAATGATATCGGATTCATTGCGAATGGATCATTATTGCTGGTTTCATTGAATAGTAAGGCATTGTCGATTGCCACAAGAACTCTATGGGGGGCTAATTTGTCAAAAACTACATCATTTGGAAGACAAGGCCATGTGATACTTAATACAAAATGTCTTTAAAGATCTTCCTTAGGAGCTCTTTGTTGGCCACTCAATCAACATGATTGCTATAGACCATAAGGCGATTGGTCACTCTATAAATACACCTATGTATGACGGGTAGCCAACCTGTGCCAGAAGTTCTAAAATCTAAAAATATCTTTCTTCCATCTAGTTCTACTTGTAAAACTATGGGTTTTCGGTTGCCGAGAATTATTAATGCTAAGGCTAGTCTAAAACGGAGTCTTTCATCTTCGGAGCCCACGGTATCGGTGCTGAAAGGCCACTTTTTTGTTTATGTTGGAGAAGCTGAAAAGAAGAGATTTGTTGTGCCGATTTCATTCCTCAACCATCCTTCCTTCCAAAATTTGTTGAGTCAAGCCGAAGAAGAGTACGGATTTGATCATCCTATGGGCGCTTTGACGATCCCTTGCACCGAAGAAGCTTTCGTTGATCTCATTGGATGTCAACAGAGCCCATGAGAGTTAGATATGGAAGTGGCTAACACTAAGACTCAACCGACAAATGCCAATTTTGTACAGCAATTAGCAAGTGCATATGGTGGATTGTTTTTTGCAATCCCATTCCCTTGAGAACTATTCTTTGTAACCAGTGTATTGAATAACTATTTTTCTTGGTTCTTCTCATCAATTCTTGTTTATAATGGCATCTGTGTACTAATACAATTGTTTGGAACTCAAAATCACTCAAAATCACGCATTTTTAATGCCAAGAAAACTCTTTGAGCATCATATCCTATGGTAACTGAATTTCCATAGGGATACTTTGCAGTTTGCATGGCAGAAAACCACAAGAGATTTGCGACACCAGTATCATACTTGAACAACCCTTCATTTCAAGAGTTACTGAGTCTATCCAAAGAAGCATTCGGATACGGTCATCCGACCGGCCATCTGAGAATTCCATACGGTGAAGACATTTTTGTTGATCCTACTTCTAGCTTGAACGGGATTGACATTTGATCAATGAATGCAGTTCTTTCATTTTCTAAAGCAAACACTATTACTGCTGTGTACAATTAGAGGTGGATTTGTAGTACTTGCAACTAATTAATTCTTTGAAAATCACAATCCAATTTCATATCATTTTCTTGAAATTTCTTGTTCATGGCACCATGATGATCCCTGTGCTATCCTACATGATTTACTCCAACATAAAATAAATTAGTCACTGCTTATTTCTTGTGTTTGTAAGTTTGTCGATACCTACCAGTGACATTCCGGCACTCATGTATCTGGAGCCAAAGTAATTCTTTTACAGTTAAATTAAAGATGAAATTAGCAAGAAGAATGAGACCACAGGAAGTTATGAAAAAATAAATAAATTCCAAATGAATGCCAGTTTACAGTCATTTTCCATACTGGTGAATTGAAGTTACAGTAAACCACCATCTTTGATGTATCTTCTTCCCAAGGAAAAAAGGATGGGAAAAAGTGTTTACATAGTATTAGATGTTTGCTTTACAGAATTGTGTTTGATGATTTGGACTAATTATCTCACAATCAATTCAAGCGAGAGGTAACATCGAGAAAGATGTCTTTGTTGCCAGGAATTCTGAGACCGCCAGTAGGATGAGTGTATCCGAACTCTTCTTCTGACATGCGTAGAAAATCTTGAAACGAAGGCTTGTTCAAGAACCCTACTGGTATCACAAATCTCTTCTGGTTCTCACCAACATAAACTGCAAAGTAGCCTTTGGGAATTTTCTTGGAGCTCACTATACGAGGCAGGGGGATAGCATTGTTCTTTTCGATGGATGTATAAACTGGAAGACGGGGGATATCTCAGAGAACTCAGAAATAAGAAGAGGTAAGAATCTGAAGTACTTGAGAATGTGAAGATAGCTGTTGCCAACGAACTTATTCTTACTTGTATATATAGATGTAAAGGTCACATAGGAAATGAGCGGTGAAGGGGCAATTGCTGGGGCCTGACTAGTAACGAGAAAAGCATAGTTTCATGAGGATCACATGGTTTTGTCTCCCAATTCATTATCAAGGTTCCATGGCTAAGACTTGAAAAACTAGTTTGCCTATCCTTTCCGGCAAAACAAACTGACAAAGGACCCACTCAAATATGGATGATTTGGATCCTTGAAAAACTACTTCACAGTTTGAAGAGCTGTACTACTTCGCCATTATTGATGGAGGCAACATTAGACAAATACAATGACAAGAAACATGTAACATGGGTGACCTTGACATCCTATTGCAGGGTGACTTCACTAAAAATTGGAATAAAAAAGTATAATTTTTATTTTAAAAGTTGATTGTATTATGGGGTGGATCTTCTTAGACAAACCTTTTTTAAGAGCACATGAAGTGTGTCCTACGGGCTGCACCTAGTCCTTACCGGAACCCAATTGGATGCATTTTATCCTGGTTGTTGTCTATGCTGTGCTGCAATCAAATTGTTCTGGGGGAGAAACACAATATTAAGCCTTACAGATCACAAATTTCTGGTATGTGCTGCTATATATTCGGATAACCTTACAGACGAACCCGTTTAAGGGTTCTTAATATATTATCTTTAAGGCTTCTGAATATGTAATTCATAAAATTATATATTAGAATCATCAGAGGTAATGGTAAATCCTAGTCATTTACAGTTAGTTTGTAATATGAAGAAATTTTAGAGCAAGGTAATTCATTTACAATTAAAGATGAAATTAGCAAGAAGAATGGGACAATATAAATTTATGGAAAGAAATAGATTCCAATTGAACAATGTGTTTGCAGTCATTTTTCATGCTGGTAGAAGTTACAGTAGCCACCATCTCTAATTTACCACTTGGGTAGACTTATATCTGCTACCTAAGGGGAAAAAAAGATGGGAACAAATTGTTTACATTGTGTTAGATGTTTACAAAATTGTATGGGGTGAATGTGTTAATTCTCTCACAATCAATTCAAGTGAGATGTAACATCGAGAAAGATGTCTTCGTTGCAGGGAATTGTGAGACCGCCAGTAGGATGACTATAGCCGAATTCTTCTTCTGACATGCCTAGAAAATCTTGAAACAAAGGCTGGTTCAAGAAGGACACTGGTATCACAAACCTCTTCTGGTTCTCTCCGACATAAACTGCAAAGTAACCCTTGGGAACTTTCTTAGAGCTGGCAATATGTGGTAGGCGGATAGCCATGGTTGATTTTGATAGATGTATGCTTCTAAAAGAGAAGAAGTGGAAGATCTCAGAAAGATTGGAAAGCAAAGGTAAGGACTTTTGTAATTGAGAATGTGAAGATAAGTGCTGCCAATGAGCTTACTCTTACTTGTATATATAGATGCATAGTTATTATTAATCGGGGATGTGGAATGAGCGTTGAAGGAACAACCTGGGGTCTGAGCAGTAATGAGAAAGAGATGTATTCATGAGGGGAATCACATGGTGTTGTCTTCCAAAAGATTATCAAGAATTCCATGATGAAGACTTGAAACAATAGTTTGCCTACTCCGTCTGGCAGTAGAATCGACGTTACAGGCAACCTTAGATACATACAATCTGTCATAAATGACAGGAAACATGTAACATGGGTGGCCTTGACCTATTATCTACATGCTGACTTCTCTAAAAACATGTAAATTGATGATCCCTTTATTTCTTTATGTTAATCATTAACAGCAGTTGAACAGTAACAAGCAGCTGGTAAAAAGTCAATTGTAAATAAAAATTTATAACATGTGCCATTGCAAAATCACAGTCATGTGGTCCTTCAATGAGTAACTTGATAGACAAAACCTTGTGATGAGTGCCTGAAGTGTCCTACAAGCTACAACTAGTCCTCATCAGAACCGAACTGGTTCGTTTTTATCGTGGACCTGATTGTTGTCTATGCTTTGAATCAGTCCAATGGTTCCATGGGGGAGAAAGACTATATTAAGCCTTAAAGCTCACCAATTTTCTGGTATGTGTTGCTATATATGCGGATAACCTTGCAGATGAACCCATTTTCAATCCGGATTTGAGCTTGAACATTGACTACAGGTGCTCGAATTTTTGTAAGTTTAGTTTCATATATTTGAAGAATCATACTAAGTTTCTCATGTTTGATTATGTTTTGGATACATGAACTCAAATTCGAGTAAAAAACGCTTAGCACGCAGAATAATGTTTAGAACAAGGTAGATCATTTACAGTTAAAATAAAGATTGGAAATTCTGTAAGAATACTGTGTTTCAAACTGACATTTTTCCTTGCTGATCAGTAAAAGTTGCAGTAATCACCATCTCTAGTTTTCCACTTAGGGAGACTTACATCTGCTCCCCAAGGCAAAAAGGATGGAGAAAAAATGTTTACATGGTATTAGTGATATTTGCTTTACAAAATTGCATTTGCTGATTTAATATAATTCTATCACAATCAATTCAAGCGAGATGTAACATCAACAAAGATGTCTTCGTTGCAGGGAATCGTGAGACCACCAGTGGGATGAGTATATCCGAACTCTTCTTCTGACATGCCTAGCAAATCTTGAAACAAAGGCTGGCTCAAGAACGACAATGGTATCACAAATCTCTTCCGGTCTCTCCAACATAAACCGCAAAGTATCCCTTGGGAACCTTCTTTGAGCTCACGATACGAGTCAGGCGGATAGCCATTGTTCTTTTCGATGGATGTATAAAAGGGAAGAGATTAGAGAGATTGGAAAGAAGAGGTATGGATGATAATGTGAAGGTAGGTGTTGCCTATAAACTTATTCTTACTTGTATATATAGATGCAAGGGCCGCAAGGAAATGTTAATCTATTAAGTGGGAGATGTGGAACGAGTGGTGAAGGGGAAATTTCTGGGGTCTGGTCAGTATTGAGGAAGACACGATTTCATGAGGATCACATGGTGCTGGTCAGTACTTAAGATCCTTATCTTTGTTTTCCGAGTTATCTAAGATCTACCCCGTCTTCCCTTTTATACATCCATCGAAAACAGCAATGTCTATCCGCCTGCCTCGTATCGCTCATATCGCGAGCTCTAAAAAGGTTCCCAAGGGTTACTTTGCAGTTTATGTTGGAGAAAATCAGAAGAGGTTTGTGATACCAGTGTCGTTCTTGAACCAGCCTTCGTTCCAAGATTTGCTAGGCATGTCAGAAGAGTTCGGATATAGTCATCCTACTGGCGGTCTCACAATTCCCTGCAACGAAGACCTCTTTGTCGATGTTACCTCTCAGTTGAATTGATTGTGAGAGAATTAACACAAATCAGCCTGTACAATTTTGTAAAGCAAACATCTACCACAATGTAAACTCTTTTTTCCCATCTATTTTTCCCTTGGGGAGGAGATATAAGTCTCCCTAAGTGTAAAATTAGAGATGGTGGTTACTGTAACTTGTACCGGTATGGAAAATGACTGCAAACACATTGTTCAATTGGAATTTATTTATGTCCAGGTCCCATATTATATATCTATGTCCACAACTCGAATATATCAAGTACACTTCTATAATGTTCACATATATGACTCCATATACTTGTTAAGTTCACAGGTTAAGGTACCCCTTGAAATTACAGTACTCCACCATATCAATACGGAATTTCGCCGATATAGTTACCCGGGGGATCATAATTACAAGTCATGAACACATCTCCGCTGTCACAAACCACTCGAGCACACCCGATTCTTCTGGTATTTTTCCAAACAATTTGAGTGTAGTGGCCACACATCTGTCCCTCCTGGCACGAGTTGGTCACGTAGTCGTAATATTTTTCTTCCTTGGACCATGCACGCACTGCATCAGTTGGCCTCCACATCGAGCCACTGCCCCAATATATGTTCTCTCCCAGCTTGAAGTCACCCTCTGGAAATGAATGTTGCAGTCTGCAGTCTGCTTTTCTTTGTGTCGCCCACCATCGGGCATATTTCTCAAGCCGGAAATCCCAGAACAAGAGTGGCTCCCATTTGGTTGCCCTCACCAAGTTGTGAGCGAATAGGAACTCGAGCGACTCGCCGATACAACCCCAACAGAGTTGCTTGGAGACTTGGTATATTGTTCCATTGTCGGGTGTTTTGCTTTGAGTTCCAAGAAGAGGAACTGTGAGACTGCATGATAGAATGAGGAACAAGAGCAATAAGTTTCGTTTCATTCTCTCTTTGTCAGTTATGTGGCTTGGCTCTGGTTTTGTAGGATCAATTCCTTTTTATATGCATTTTCTTGTTGATATATATGTGTGTGTGTGTGTGTGATTGAAGTTTGTCTCGTGAACTTAGGGAAACTTTTGCCCGTTAACTCTGTATTGTTTCCATAGTTATACTTATGTCTCCATTTTCTCTGTAGAAGAAATTTATATATTCAAATGGGTAGTTCAAAATATGCAGAGAATTCAACAAATATGCGACTAGAAATGTGGATTATTAAAACAGATTCATCTGTAAGGTTTTCCATATATATATATATAGCGATGCATACGAGAAATCCGGTGAGCCGTAAGGCTTTATATTGTCATTCTCTCCCATGTTTGATTGCAACATGGCATAGACAACATACTTCAGGTGCCCTTCACAAGGGTTTGTCTTACAAGCTAGTCATGGAATGAACACATGACTAACTTGATAATAGAAGGTCAAGGTCACCCATGTTACATGTCTCCTGCCATTGTGTGTCGTAAATAGCGAAATAATACGACTCTTTTTCTTTGAAGAAGAATTTTACAGGTCCTGATCTTCAATATATCGGGTGGGTACTTGGTCGGTTTGTTCTACCGGAACGGGTAGGGAAACTATTATTTCAAGTCTTAGCCATGGAATTCTCGATAATGAATTGGAAGACAACATCATGTGGTCCTCATGAAACCCTGCCTTTCTCGTTACTGATCCGACCCCATCAATTGCCCCTTCACTAATTCCACATGCCACACTTAATACTAGAACATGATTTCCGCTCTATCCTATGCATCTATATATACTAGCAAGCATAAGCACATTGAAAACACCTACCTTCACATTCTCAAGTACTTAAGATCATTACCTTTGCTTTCCGAGTTCTCTCAAATCTTTTCCGTCTTCCCTTTTATACATCCGTAATAATAACAATGGCTATCCACCTGGCTCGTATCGTGTGCTCTAAGAAAGTTCCCAAGGGCTACTTTGCAGTTTATGTTGGAGAGAACCAGAAGAGGTTTGTGATATCAGTGTCATTCTTGAACCAGCCTTCGTTTCAAGATTTGCAAGGCATGTCAGAGGAAGAGTTCGGATATAGGCTTCCTACGGGAGGTCTCACGATTCCCTGCAATGAAGACATCTTTCTTGATGTTACCTCTCGTTTGAATTGATTGTGAGACAGTTAACACTAATCAGCAAATACAGTTTTCTAAAGCAAATATCTAACACAATGTGAACACTTTTCCCCCCCTATTTTTTACTCTTGGGAAGCAGATATGAGTCTACCCAAATGGAAAATGGCAGTTCGAATCACATCGGTCGGAATTTGTTTTCCTTCCAGAATATATTTTATCTGTTCATGTTATTTTATTTGTTCATGTTATTTCCATCATAGGTTATATGTTGTTAGACTCTTCATTTTCTTTAAATTACATGTGTCCGACAAATTCAAACACGATATAAAGTATCTTAATGAAATTTGACCTGCCGTTGTCATTACTCGAACTTAAGTGTAGGTGGTATAGACTACAAGTACGACTTGCAGACTGTAGGACATACTTCATGTGCTCTTCACAAGGGTTTGTCTTACAAGATCCACCAACCCCCTAGCAATAGGAGGTTAAGGTCACCCATGTTACATGTTTCCTGTCATTGTATGACGGATTGTATGTCTCTGAGGTTGCCCCTAACGGCAATGGCGAAGTGTTACAACTCTCCTACTGTGTAGAAACCTTGTATGGACCGAAGATCTTCCGTATTTGAGTGGGTCCTGGGACGGTTTGTTCTGCCGGAAGGGGTACGTAAACTATTCCTTCAAGTCATAGCCATGGAATTCTTGATAATGAATAGGCAGACAACACCATGTGATCCTCATGAAGCCATGCCTTTCTCAATACTGACCAGACCCCACAATTTCCCCTTCACCACTCATTCCACATCTCCCACTTAATAGATGAACATTTCCTCGTGGCCCTTGCATCTATATATACAAGTAACGATAAGTTCATCGGCAACAGCTACCTTCACATTCTCATCCTTACCTCTCTCCGATCTCTCTAAGATCTTCCCTTTTATACATCCATCGAAAACAACAATGGCAATCCGCCTGCCTCGTATCATGAGCTCTAAGAAAGTTCCCAAGGGCTACTTTGCAGTTTATGTTGGAGAGAACCAGAAGAGATTTGTGATACCGGTGTCGTTCTTGAACCAACCTTTGTTTCAAGATTTGCTAGGCATGACAGAAGAAGAGTTCGGATATACTCATCCTACTGGTGGTCTCAGGATTCCCTGCAACGAAGGCCTCTTTGTCGATGTTACTTCTCGCTTGAATTGATTGTGAGAGAATTAGCACAAATCAGCAAATGCAATTTTGTAAAGCAAACATCACTAAATCCATGTAAACATTTTTTCCATCCTTTTTGCCTTGGGGAGCAGATATAAGTCTCCCTAAGTGGAAAACTAGAGGTGGTGATTATTGTAACTTCTATTAACCAGCAAGGAAAAATGACAGTTTGAAGCACATCATTCTTACAGAATTTCCCATCTTTAATTTAACTGTAAACGATCTAGCTTATTCTAAACATTATTCTGCGTGGTAAGCTTTTTTGACTCTTCATTTTTCTTTCGATTTCATGTATCCAAAACATAATCAAACATGAGAAGCTTAATATGATCCTTCAAATTTATGAAAATAAACTTGGAAAAATCTGTATATATAGCAACACATACCAGAAATTTGGTGAGCAGTGAGGCTTAATATAGTCTTTCTCCACCATGATAAAAACCAGGATAAAAACGATCCAGTTCGGTTCTAATGAGGACTAGTTGTAGGATGTAGGATACTTCAGGCACTCTACACAAGGTTGTCTTACAAGATATTCATTGAAGGAACACATGACTGTGATTTTACACCGGCACATGTTAAAAAATTTGATTTACAAGTTACTCTCTCTCCCAACTGCTTGTTACGGTTCAACTGCTGTTAATGATTAGCATAAAGAAATAAAGGGATCATCAATATACATGTTTTTAGAGAAGTCAGCATGTAGATAATAGGTCAAGGCCACCCATTTACATGTTTCCTGTCATATATGACAGATTGTATGTGTCTAAGGTTGCCTGTAACGTTGACCCTACTGCCAGACGGAGTAGGCAAACTATTGTTTCAAGTCTTCACCATGGAATTCTTGATAATCTTTTGGAAGAGAACACCATGTGATTCCCCTCATGAATCCATCTCTTTCTCATTACTGCTCGGACCCCAGCTTGTTCCTTCACCGCTCGTTCCACATCCCCGATTAATAATAGATATGCATCTATCTATACAAGTAAGAGTAAGTTCATTGGAAACACTAATCTTCACATTCTCAAGTACAAAAGTCCTTACCTTTGCTTTCCAATTCCTCTGAGATCTTCTACTTCTTCACTTTTAGAAGCATACATCTATCAAAATCAACCATGGCTATCCACCTACCACGTATTGCCAGCTCTAAGAAAGTTCCCAAGGGTTACTTTGCAGTTTATGTCGGAGAGAACCAGAAGAGATTTGTGATACCAGTGTCGTTCTTGAACCAGCCTCTGTTTCAAGATTTGCTTGGCATGTCAGAAGAAGAGTTCGGATATACTCATCCTACTGGCGGTCTCACGATTCCCTGCAACGAAGAAATCTTTGTCGATGTTACCTCTCGCTTGAATTGATTGTGAGAGAATTAGCACAAACCAGTCCATACAATTTTGTAAAGCAAACTTCACTAATACCATGTAAACACCTTTTTCCCATCCTTTTTGCCTTGGGGAGCAGAAATGAGTCTCCCTGAGTGGAAAACTAGAGATGGTGGTTACTGTAACTTTATCAATCAGTGAGGAAAACCACATTTGAAGAACATCAGTCAGTTGGAATTTTATATTCAGATTTTGTTTTTGTTCATGTTCATTCCATCTTTAACTGTAAATGATCTACCTTTTTCTAAAATTACATCATACTGCATGCTAAATTATTCGAAGTTGTTCATTTTAAAGTTTTTTCTTTCATATATTTTAATGATCTTACTGTCATTTTTCACAGTCAAATTAAAGAAATGAAATTCAGAAAGAATGTTGTGTTTCTAACTGTCATTTTTCCTTGGTGATTAATAAAAGTTACAGTAATCACTATCTCTAATTTTCCACTTGGGTAGACTTATATCTGCTCCCCAAGGGAGAAAAAGATGGGAGAAAAGTGTTTACATTGTGTTAGATGTTTGTTTTACAAAATTTTATAGGCTGATTTGTGTTAATTCTCTCACAATAAATTCAAGCGAGACGTAACATAGACAAATAGGTATTCGTTGCAGGGAATTGTGAGACCGCCAGTAGGATGACTATATCTGAACTCTTCCGCCGACATGCCTAGCAGATCTAGAAACAAGGGCTGGTTCAAGAATGACACTGGTATCACAAACCTCTTCTGGCTTTCTCCAACATAAACTTTAGAGCTCATGATACGAGGCAGGCGGATAGCCATTGTTGTTTTGATGGATGTATAAAAGGGATTGAGATTGTGATTGAGATTGTACATTTGTTGGAGTAATTCATGTAGGTTAGGACAGGGTTCATCATGGCGCCAGGAACAAGAAATTTCAATAAAATTATATGAAATTGGATTGTGATTTTCTAAGAATTAATTAGTTGCGATTATTACAAATACACCTAAAATTGTACACAGCAGCAATAGTGTTTGCTTTAGAAAATGAAAGAACTGTATTCATTGATCAAATGTCAATCCCATTCAAGCTAGAAGTATGATCAAGAAAAACGCCTTCACCGCATAGAATTCTCAGAAGTTTGGTCAGATGATCGTATTCGAACTCTTCTTCGGATAGACTCCGTAACTCTTGAAATGAAGGGTTGTTCAAGTATCCCTTTATAAACGAGAATTGATGAGAATTTTCTGCCACGTAAACTGCTAAGTATCCCTTGGGAACATCAGTTGTCATAGGAGATGATGCTCGAAGAATTTTCTTAGCTTTAACAATGCGTGATTTTGAGTTAAAAACAATTGTGTTAGTACAAAACTACCATTATAAACGACAATTGATGAGAAGATCCGAGAAAAATATTCATTTAGTACATTGGTTACAAAGATTAGTTCACAAGGGCATGGGATTGCAAAAAACAATCCACCATATGCACTTGCTAATTGCTATACAAAATTGGTATTTGTCGATTGAGTCTTAGTGTTGGCCACTTCCATATTCAAGTCTCATGAGCTTTGTTGACAACCAATGAGATCAATGAAAGCTTCTTCGGTGCAAGGAATCGTTAGAGCACCCATAGGATGATCAAATCCGTACTTTTCTTCGGCTTGACTCAACAAATATTGGAAGGAAGGATGGTTGAGGAATGAAATCGGTACTACAAATCTCTTCTTTTCAGCTTCTCCAACATAAACAGCGAAGTGGCCTTTCGGCACCGATACGTGATCTCTGAAGATGAAAGACTCCATTTTAGACCAGCCTTAGCATTAACAATTCTCGGCAACCGAAAACCCATGGTTTTACAAGTAGAACTAGATGGAAGAAAGATATGTTTTTTAGAACTTTGGCACAGGTTGGCTACCCATCATACATTGGTGTATTTATAGAGTGATCAATCGCCTTATCGTTTATAGCAATCATGTTGATTGAGTGGCCAGGAGAGAGCCCCTAAGGAAGATCTTTAAAGACATTTGGTATTAACCATCACAAGGCCTTGTCTTCCAAATGATGATGTAGTTTTTGACAAATTAGCCCCACCATAGTGTTCTTGAGGCAATCAACAACGAGTTACCATTCAATGAAACCAACAATAATGACCCATTCGCAATGAATCCGATATCATTGGATCAACTAACAGCTCTGGTCTTCAATCCTAATCAGCAGCAGAATATGTAGGGTAGCAAGTCAACTCAAAGACAATCAGTATCAAATCTCATTTTGCTTATTTTTCATCAAAATATTTCATCCATATGATCTGCCAGGCAAAAGTTATTATCAACACTAACAGGACATGATTCAATGATATTGTATTCGTTGCAAATGGATCATAACTGTTTGTTTCATTGAATTTTAAGGCATTGTAGATTGCCACAAGAACACTATGGTGGGTCTAATTTGTCTAAAGCTACATCATCAATTGGAGGACAAGGCCATGTGATGCCTAATAGCCAATGTCTTTAAAGATCTTCCTTAGGGGCTCTCTCTTGGCCACTCAACCAAAATGATTGCTATAAACGATAAGGCGATTGATCACTCTATAAATGCACCTATGTCTGATGGGTAGCCAACCTGTACCAAAAGTTCTAAAATCTGAAAATACCTTCTCTTCCTTCTAGTTCTACTTGTAAAACCATGCGATTTTACTTGCTGAGAATTGTTAATGCTAAGGCTAGTCTAAAACGGAGTCTTTCATCTTCAGAGATCACAGTATCAGTGCCCAAAGGCCACTTTGCTGTCTATGTTGGAGAAGTCGAAAAGAAGAAATTCGTTGTACCGGTTTCATTACTCAACAATCCTTGCTTCCAAAATTTGTTGAGTCAAGCTGAGGAAGAATACGGATTTGATCATCCTACGGGTGCTCTAACGATCCCTTGCACTGGAGAAGCTTTCGTTGATATCATTGGACGTCAAAAAAACTCGTGAGAGCTATGGATATGGAAATGTTTAACACTCAACCTCAACTGACAGATACCAATTTCGTTTAGGAATTACCAAGTGCAAATGGTGGATTGGTTTTTGCAATCCCATTCCCTTCTGAACTTAAATAATATTCTTTTTGTAACCAACATATGAAATGACAGTTTACTCAATTGTTCTCATCAATCTGGTTTCTTATGTTGACTGTATAATAATACAATCGTTTGGAACTCGATATATAAATTCATAGACCATAACAGAAATTGTCATTTAACATTTAGGTTACAGAGACTAATAAGTACACAATCGAACGAGATTGCAAAAAACAATCCACTATTTGCACTTGCTAATTCCTATGTAAAACTGTGTATATGTCAGTTGAGGTGTTAGCCATTTTGATATCAACTCTCACGAGCTTTGCAGACTGCCAATGAGATCGACGATAGCTTCTTCGGTGCAAGGGATCGGATCAAATTCGTACTCTTCTTCACCTCGACTCAATAAAACCTGGAAGGAAGGATGGTTGAGGAATGAAATCTGGCCAACAAATCTCTTCTTCTCAGCTTCTCCAACATAAACAGCAAGTTGACCTTTGGGCACCGAGACCGTGTTCTCCGAAGACTAAAGATTCTGTTTTAAACTGTAAAGTATCCCTTGGGAACATCAGTTGCAATAGGAGATGATGCTCGAAGAATTTTCTTAGCCTTAAAAATGTCATTTAATACATTGATTACAAAGAATAGTTCACAAGGGCATGGAGTTGCAAAAAAACAATCCACCGTATGCACTTGCTAATTGATATAAATAATTGGTATTTTCGGTTGAGTCTTAGTGTTAGCCATTTCCATATCCAACTCTCATCAGCTTTGTTGACATCCAATGAGATCAATGAAAGCTTCTTCGGTGCAAGGGATCGTTAGAGCACCCATAAGATGATTGAATCCATACTCTTCTTCGGCTTGACTCAACATATATTGGAAGGAATGATGGTTGAGGAATGAAATCAGCACAACAAATCTCTTCTTTTCAGCTTCTCCAACATAAACAGCAAAGTGGCCTTTCGGCACCAATACAGTGGTCTCCGAAGATGAAAGACTCCGTTTTAGACTAGCCTTAGCATTAACAATTCTCGGCAACCAAAACCCCATGGTTTTGAAAGTTGAACTGGATTGAAGAAAGATATGTTTAGATTTTAGAGCTTTGGCACAGGTTGGCTACTCTTCATACATGGGTGTATTTATAGAGACCAGTCGCCTTATGGTTTATGGCAATCATGCTGATTGAGCGGCCAAGAGATATCCCCTAAGGAAGATCTTTAAAGGCATTTGGTATTAAGTATCACAAGGCCTTGTCCTCCAAATGATGATCGATTTGAAATGAATACGATATCATCGAATCATATCTTGTTAGTGTTGATAATAACTTTTCCTAGCAGATCATATGGATCAACTAGAAGCTATGGTCTTCGATCCTAATCAGCAGCAAACATATGTATGGTAGCAAATCAACTCGAAGACAATCAGTATCCAATTTTTTTTGTTTATTTTGCATCGAAATGTTTCGTCCATGTGATCTGCTAGGCGAAGTTATTATCAACACTAACAGGGCATGATTCGATGATATCTCACTCATTGCAAATGGATCAACAATGGGGCCAATTTGTCAAAAACTATATCATCATTTGGAAGGCAAGGTCATGTGATGCATAATAGCAATGTCTTTAAAGATCTTCCTTAGCGGCACAACGACGGTGACACAGTGTGGAAGATCCTAAATTCGGAACTCGGTAGGCTAGGATTATCACCAGCACTTATAGGTGACATGGTGGAACTAGCTCTTACCATGTTTATCACGATCGGGGTTCTAATCGATCTCGGACTGGCTACGTCCTATATTTTCTTAATCGTGTTCGTGTTGCAACCGGGAATGAAATGGGTGGTGAACCATACGCCTGAGGCTGGCCAGATAAAAGAAATATGCTTTTACCTAGGTTCGCCCATGTACTCCATTTACACCCTAAATATGGTCCAATTATTCTCGGTTTGGCTGTCACGGATGGTCCCTCTCTGGGATCTGCTCTGGTCGAAAAACTCGACCCTTTTACTTCAGGATTGTTTCTGCCTATATTCGTTACGACATGTGGCTTGAGGTTCGATCCGTCTTACTTTCTAGAGTAGACAATGACCCGTATGTAAAGGACCATGTTATAGGAGCACTGGTAATCAAATTCGGGGTCTCTCTGGTGCTGGCCGTATTGTGTAAGATGTCCATAAAGGATTCTTTTATCACTTGCTTTTATAATGATATCGAAAGACATCGTCGAGATAGGTTCGTACAGCATCATGAATGACAACAGATTATGTATCTTTCTCTGTATATCTATGCAAGTATTAGCAAAGGGGTGTCTAATGCTTTGTTGTTTCAGGTTATATCGGAGTATTTATTCAGTTACTTGACTATTATGATAATTCTGATAGCGAGTATCGTGCCCAGGGATGGACAGAGGGGGTGGGGACAGTGGCCCCCTGATCGTGCCGATAATTGTGTAAAGGCTTTACGATCCGTCTAGGAAGTATCTATGCTTTCATAAAAGGACCATCATGAGTACCAAGCTGAACCAAGAGCTGCGAATGCTCGGTTGCATTCACGTGCCGGGTAATGTTAATTCCATTACACACCTATTGCAGGCCTTCTGTCCAACCAAACAAAGCCCCATTGCTCTTAATGTCCTTCACCTTGTCAAGCTCGGCAGATGAGCCTCGCCGCTGTTCATTGCTCATAACAAGCAGATGAAACCAATTTTGAACGAATCGTACTCCGAAAACTTCATCATCGTGTTCAACGAGTTTCAGCGGCAGAATTGGGAGGCTGTAGTCTCTCAACCGAATTTGATGCACAACCGACGATACATGTAACCTTGCCATGGACCGCCTCACGTGGTTCATACTCCTTCCGTTCCACAGGAGGTGGTGCATCGACGGGAGCATCAAATCGGAAGATCAAACCATAAGAAGTCTGAATTTCGACATCCTCCTCAAAAGGACACCTTGCTCGGTAGATAATAGAGATCCTCGTTGACGTGCACAACAATCCAATAAACTTCAATCTCAGAGACACATTACCATCCCGAAACTCCTCATCCTACAACATTGCTGTGATCTTCATGGGGGACAAGATGATCGGGAAGATCTAGCGCTGGTGAAACGCATTTTGCAAGACGAAAGCGGTCAACTTACTGTGATCCTTCTCAAAGCTAGGGACAGCTTAGGCACAATCATGGCTGAGAACGTCTAACGCTTGATGATGAGATGTTGTGTGATATAAAACCAAATAGTGAAGGAGATATGTAGGTCGAATGTGATCTTTTTAAACGTAGGTCTAGTCGAATTCGAGTGAAGGAGATATGTTTTTAAATTAGATTGGATTGACCGAAAAATCGAATAAAATGATAGTATTTCATCAGCTGACCAATAGTGACATAAAGGGTTCATGATTATAATATTACGAGAGACAATAAAGCTTCATGACTCCACCTTCATGCACACAATCAACAATATGTAGCATTCATACATCATGCAGATGTATTTAATTAGTTGACATGTCTAAAAAATCTTAAATCCTAAGTACATGTTCATACATATATGATGTCTCTATATATTTATTTATTGACCAATAATATGTTGACACGTGTTGAAGATTATTTTGACTAAACATTAAAATTGACCCTTCATTCAAACATTAAATGCTATTTCTGATATTATATATGTTCTTAAACATTCTTCAATGGCATACTACTTCCTATATATATGTGTGTGTGTGTAATTAGGATGTCATAGCAAACCCACTAAAGCTTCTCCACCATTGAAATCAACCTATGAATTTCCTCCATTTTTACTCAAAGATGGGCATCAGGTTAGTCCATGCAAAGCAAAAGCTCCAACGAATCCTATTGACGAGAGCCGGGAACGAGCCGGCCACGGTGAATGTTCCGAAAGGCCATGTAGCGGTTTACGTCGGAGAAGGCAACGATAAGAAAAGATTTGCAATCCGAATATCGTCCTTGAACCATCCTCTGTTCAGAGACCTGTTGGATCGAGCCGAGGAAGAATTCGGGTTCAACCATCCGATGCGAGGCCTCACGATCCCATGCAGTGAAGAGTGTTTCATCAGAATTACTACAATCTTAAGCAGTTGAGACAGAACACACTGCAGCAGCCTATGATGCAGTGTCTTGTCCTCTGGTTCACACAAAATCAATCCCATGTATGACCTAAATTCTAAAGTAGTCCCAAACTTTAAAATATTCTGATCAAAGTCTTCAAGGTATTAGTATTGTATCAATAAGGTTCCTTTCTCCTTCCTAATAATCAGGGTATGAGGCAAATGTTAGCTCATATCTAACTTGGAAAGTATTTAAATATAAGACTTATATCACAAATAAGTACTTAAAAGTACTCTATTTTACATTTAAGATCTAAATTATTTTTTGGTCAAAATAAATATCAAAAGTTATCTTTTTAATCAAAATAGGTAAAGCATTTTATGTCAAAATAGGTACCTTAACTATTCAAACTTTTTTCATCTAAGTTCTAAAAAAGTTGACATGTGGCATTAATTAAAGAATACTTTAGGTATTGGGATGAAAAAATTGAATACTTTAGGTACCAATTTTTGGCCAAAAATATAATTTTAGGTACTTATTTTGACCAAAATATATTTTAGGTACATAAATGAAAATGTTTGTATACTTTAATTACTTATATGTTATATAAACCTAAATACAAAGACAAATGCAAAACATGGTAAAATTCCTATTAGATCCTTTCTAAAAAATGTAAAAGTATGTTATATCCAATAATCCAAGCAAAATAATTACTTAGGCTTATAAATTAACTCAGAAATTAATTAGTAATTTACAATAATTATTATAGTGATTTAGAATTCATCACGTAGGAGTGACGAGTATAAAAAAATATATTTTCTTTATTGAAACTTGGCATGACAAGTTTTAATAAAAAAAATATATCATTTTAAAACTCATCACTCCTACGTGATGAGTTTTAATAAAAAAATATTTTATCTTGAAATTCATCACCCTAGTGATTAGTTCACCTTTCATTGGAATAAATATCATATATCCCGAAATAAATTTTAAGTCGCCTTATATGACTAAATAATTTAGGGTAAACTACACATAAAGTATATAAACTATCAATTAAGTACTTAAACTTTTAATTTTTCAAAATCATATCTAACATTTAGTTTTTATTTCATTTTAGTACTCGTCATCAAACACTTAATGTGTTTAGTACTTAAACTATTCGTTTTAATATCTAAACTTTTACTTTTTTTTCAAAACTTAACGTTAACTTTTGAACAAGATACTAAAATGAAACAAAAACAAAAATTTAAGCATTATTTTAAAAGAATAAAAAAGTAGGTACTGAAATAAATCAAAACTTATAATTTAGATATTAAATACATAATTTATCCAACAATGTATCCGTATGGATCATGTCCTGATCTTACCTATCGTGACACTTCAACAAATTACCAGGTTCTGAAATTTGATAGAATTGCAGCTTCCTTTACGAGTAACAGTTTGAAGCTGTCCTCAAAAGGGGCCAGACAAATAGGAGTAACATCATGGCAGTGACCCTTTTGTCTTGTGAGGAGCAAAAGCTTGATTACCAGGTAGGCCATTCTGATAAAGTTCAGAGCTCCTGAACACAGATTTAGAACGCACAATCAACAAACGACGTGACAACAACCTATTAGAAGCGTGCTAGAAAATGACAACTCCTGAGAAAAACCCTAGCTCCCTCGTGTTCTGTAAAAGTTTGCTTCTTCATCATCATATCATGTGGTTTTTATCATTTATAGAAAGGAAATTCGATGCACAGAGGTACTTAGACAAGACATGTCATACATATTGGTCTAATTCTCATTTTAATCTCTCAATTACGTTGAAATTTGAGATTTAATACATGTTTTCATTTTTCTAGTTTTTATAATGTTATTAGTACATGTAATGATATTACTAAACTCGTCCAGTGGTTTAAGTCGTTGAAATGATGTTATTCTTCTTAGAGGTTTTAGTTTAAACAGTTACATCTATAGGGTATATGTGCATTGTAATAACTAAGAAAAATTCATAATAAACACAATATTATAATCATCTTAAATTATCTCTTAAACAAAGATCCCTAAGAGATTATACTTCTCCAACCATTCTTTGTCGTTATTTTAAATGACATGTTTATATTTATAGACCCAAATAATTGGTCACCAGAAAGATTAAATAAATTTAATCATAAAATAATTTTCAACACTAAAATTATAATAAATTTTAACTTTAATTATTAATCATATTTGAGTTTATACATAATGATCTTATGTTAGAGGGGGCGAATTTGAACTTATAAAATTTCAAGGGACGAACTTGAATTTATAAAATTTTTGGGGATAAAACAAATTCTCAATAAAAAAATACACATATAAAATCTAAAATATATGATAATTTTAAATTTTTGGAGGGCGAATTTGAACTTGTATAATTTTAAGGGGACGAAGAAAAATTTTCAATAAAAATTACATAGATAAAATCTAAAATATATGATAATTTTAAATTTTTAGAGGACAACATCCCCATTCGCCCCGCCTAAATCCATACCTGATGATCTCCTTTAATAAGATTTTACTCATTATCACATCATCATGAGTCTTGAACTATAACTTTGTTAAAATTTAATGTGATTCCACGTTACTTACCTCCACAAATAAATATATGTGTGCTAGGATTTAATTACACAATGGAAAATCAAAAAAGTTTTGCACCTTTTAAGATCTTTGGATATTGGACCGGGAAGATTAAATGTTGAGATTAACAATAGAAAATAGGAAGATGATCACTGGAAAAAAAATAAGGAGTTAATATCAGTCTTTGATCCAAAAATGATGTAAAATTTTAGTTTTACACTAGGTGTAAGTGGATGTTAACTTTGGTTGAAACAAAGGTGTTGTCATGATGACAAACCTCTGAAAATCAACTATGAGAGAACTGGGATATCTCATACATGCTCAAGAGTATGGATTGTATTATCTCAAGATCATGTTGTCTTAGATGGATACTCCGATACCAATTGATTATCTGATATTCAAGATATCAAAGGCACATGTGAATATGTTTCACATAGGGAAGAGAAGTGATATAATAGAAATCCGGTTATAACCAGATTCACAATGAAATCTGAATTTGTAAATATGAATTTGAGATATATGCATTATCGACATAATACGGTTAGAAAATTGATTTCAAATAGAGTTATTTCTATTTATTTTGCAAGATTAATTGCTGGAAATTTATGGGGAACGACGACGGCAAAGGAACAAATAGAGTTTCTGTTACACCCCAAACATTTGGGTCAAGTGGGCTTTGTTATTTGAGTTAATTGTTGCAAATGGGCATGGGTTAATAGGTCATTATTTGGATAAAATTTAAATGCAATTGGGGCATGGTTTGGACATGGACTTGAGCACTTGTTTATAGATTTGAAAGTTGTAGTTTGGAACAACGTGGACATTTGAATTTGGGTTTTACATTTGATACTTGGGGTTCAACATCAAAGGTTTAAAAAATGTGGGATTTCGAACTCCATCACAAACACGTATGGTCACTCGACTCTAAATAAACCTAATTTAAGTAAAAGCATGTCACTAATGCCCCCATGATTAATTTTTCATCCATGCACGAGTGTATTCGAACCAGTCTTCAATCACCTTCAATTCGATTTGAATTATTCAGACAAAATTAGGGTATTACATCCTCATTTTGTGGGGGTTTTATTATTTGAAAACTTTTTAAAAACAGATTTTGATAAGAGAAACGTCTACCTCTCTCGTTTTTTCCTTGACTAATTCAACTAATTTGTAGTATCTTCCGATTCGAACCCGAAACCGGTTTAAGTATGAAAAAAACGTAATTACATGAATCAATTCATATTTAAACCGGTTTGAGTATGAAAAATGATATGTAAAGGCAGAGTGAATCTTAAGATGGGAAAAGTAATTGTTTTCTTATATACTTTCTCTGTTTTCTCAGGTCTAAGAGTATACATTTTCTCTATTTTCTTAGGAAACAAACACCAACTAGCAAGAAAGTAAAAAATCAAAATCACAACAAAAATAGGAAGAAAAAACAGAATTTTTCTCTCTTAGAAACACTAGAGTAAAAATAATGGAAAGTGAAAATTACAACAACAACAAAACTCTAAATGGATTAGTGGATTATAATACTAATAAAGTTTATTGAAATCAAAGAAAATAATTCCTTTCCCATTGAAAAAAAAGATAATCACATAAATGAATGTAATTTTTAGAAAAGGATAACAAATATTTGTGGTTACCTGAGTAGATGAACGATCCTTTCGGTAATTATTGTAGAACTAATATTTTGATATAACAAATAAGGACAAAATATTTTTGGACTAAATTGAATTTATTCAAAGTTTTTTAAGATTTTAAAAGGCAAAATGAACAATTCTGGGCCTAGTTTCGAAACCTCCTTTAAAGGTTTTGAAACCCCTACGCATAATTGCAGATTTTTCAACTCCCAACGACTCCAAATCATCCCCAATGGTTAGAAACGACTAGTAACTCATTCCAACATATAAAAACAAGTTGGGAACACTTGAAGAAGTAGACCAACACCTATCCAAGCAATCAAACACAAGAGAAAAAAAATTTCATTCTTTATTTCTCTTTCTCTTGTAAATATTTTTGTTTTTGTAAGCTTTAATTTGTAAACATCTTCCTTTTTAGAGATTTTCTTGTTTACAATTCTTTTCCTTTGTAAAGGGGTTTTGGTTCTAGCTAATCCTTTGAAAAGCTAGGGAGTTTGTAAATGTTATCTCTTTATCCTTGAAAAAGAAAGAACAATTTAGTGGATTTATTGAAAAATCCTAAGTGAGGAGCTTAGGTAGTAGATGCATACTTCAATGAGAGAGTTGAACCACTATAAATCATTGTGCAAATTTTCCTATCTTTATACTCCTTACTCCCTAAACTTCAAAAAACCAATTCACCCCCTTTTGGCATATTTCGATTGATTGAACGAGCTTCATCGAATCCATCAATTGGTATCAGATCTTGACTCATTAGAAGGTCTAACAACCTTGAGACCATCCTTGAAGAAGCTCTATCTATTTCCGACACAACCAAGAAGATGGCTTTCACCTCCGACTCGTTCCACATGGAAGACTCCCAACTGATCGAAAAGCCTCCATACTTCAGTGGAGCCAACTACCGTCATTGAAAGAAATTAATGAAGCTATTCATCCAATTCAATGATCTTGATGCATGGTAGATGATCGAGAATGGCTAGTCTTCTCCAAAGAAAAAGACAAATGAGTGGAGTGCCCAAGAATGGAAGAAAGCTCGCCAAAATGCTAAGGTCATACACATGTTGTTTTGTGCATTTGGTCTCTATGTCTATGAAGGAGTTTCTTCTTGTTCCAATGCCAATGAGCTTTGGAATAAGCTCGAAGAGATCCATAGAAACAAGAAAAAAGAACCAATAAAGGTGGTGTGCTTAATGGCTTTTGAAGAGCCCAAGGTATCTTCTAATTCTAATGAATTTTATTCATATTTTTTTGATGAGTTAGAAGATGCATATAATGAATTATGTTTGGAGTTTAATACCATGAACTCCAAATACAAGAAAATAATTTCAAATTTTGAAGTTGAAAATGATTTTCTTTTGAAAGTAAAATTAGATTTTGAAAAACAAAATGAAATTTTGAAAAATGATTTAGAGCTCTCATCGGCATATGGAACGAACTCTCAGAATCGAACCAATTAGACCCTTCAAATTACTCATTTACAAATACCAATACCATATTTACAATGGAAAATAAATAAATAAAAAACTCAGTTTTCTCATGGAACTCATGCATGGTTTATACGTGAAGTGAGCTTAATGAACTCATCTTCGCCGCAAGGAACAATGAGACCGCCCACCGGCCGATGATCGAAACCGAACACTTCTTCAGCTCGATTCAACAAGGCCTGGAACAAAGGGTGCTTCAAATAAGATATCGGGACCACGAATCTCTTGTTCTTCTCTTCGTCACTGACGTAGACAGCAAAATGACCTTTCTGGTGCTTAGAATGCGACCATCTTTGGATAGTTTTCATTGCTTGAAGCATCATTGAAGGCAAATGAATCCCCATTTTCTCTTTGAGATATATTGTTTTCTTTTTGGTTACATTTCTGGTCTTGATCCTTTGGGTGTATATATAGGGGGAGACATATTTTCTGTCACCTAGCATGCATGAAAACATCAACACGTACTTTTGTCCATGGGGTTATGATATTATTGTATAATATCGAAGTTTGCGGTCTGAAATGGACCAGCAAAGCTACTAATTATAGGAGATATCGCCCACTGGTTTTCACATACCCATGTCTGGTCTTCTATTTGGTGCATTTCTCTTATGCCAGTAATTTTCTCTAGATCCGTGACTTGATCATACATCAAGATTGATGGGGTGTTTTTGTTTTTCTATTTTCTCTTACAGATAATGATTGGCTTTGAACTTGGTCTGTTCTTGTTCTTCGAAGTTCGAACTGCGGTCCGTGTATGCCAGTTGCATGCAGTGCATGCTCATGGTAAAAGGGTTTTTCAACTATATATAAGCAGCCTTTTCTCAATATTCTCTTTGAATAGAAACTACAATTATATTGGTGACCAATATACGGAGGATTATCATTTAAAGAGAAATGATCTTTACATATTGATTATAGTCTCTGTATATATTGATAAATTATAAAAAGAAATTAACGCCAGTATTGATAAATATTATTAAACACCCCAAGATATAGCATGAATCATCCCATAAGGCATTATTCTCATAGTCCGGTGTCAAGACATACTTAATATTCAATTATGATTTATATAAGAATTTACAGACTACTCACTAGATGGTAGAATTCAAACTTAATCTTACAAACTCAAATTCTCGAATCTCAAACCACTTGTACCAACACTTAAACTGATAAGTATCTTATTCATTGGCACTTGGCATTACTAATATTGACACATGAAATATCAAATATGTTTAAGATGGTCTATTTTATCCCGAATATGAACCCACACCTGACCATTTTCCAGTGGATTTTGCGAATTACGGCACTCTGTTTTCCGACACAAAAATGGCTAACCAGCTTAGAGAGAGAGAGAGAGAGGCTGTTTGATTGGACACAAGGGGCTGCTGGAGGCTAGTGTATCACTGCTCCGTGCAACTTGATAGATATGATCATGTTGGGTAACGCATAGCTCCAAAGAATGGTTGAATTGGATTGAGCAAAGCCATGTGAATTCATCAGTGCAGTGGGGACAGTCGCACCACACCCGCCGCCATAATCACAGCACAAGCCCATTTTTTGTCTTCTCCGACGCAGGAAACTATGGGCATGTCTCCCTAAGGTAAAAGTATGAATTTAAATATTTTAACCATCTCTGCCTGTCATACTCTATCCAAACCCCTATAAATACAAACACATTATCTCCATGTTCTTCAGTTTCTTTTTCTTTGAAAAAAAAGCACATTAGACGACATAAATGGGTGGTCGTATACGGTCGAGGATATCCAGCGCCAAGCAAATTCTCAAGCTTCAGTCTCTAGTCACAAGAAAGAAACCGGACGTTCCGAAGGGACACGTGACAGTTTATGTTAGGGAGACACATAGGAAAAGGTTTGTGGTTCCGATCACGGTGTTGAACCATCCCTCGTTCCGATGCTTACTGAAGCGAGCCGAGGAGGAGTTCAGGTTCAATCATCCCATGGGTGGTTTAACGATTCCGTGCCTGGAAGAAGCCTTCGTACATCTCACATCCGGGTTGCCGTAAGATATGCTCAATCCATCACAATTTTGTTTTGTTTTTAATAAAGATTGTAAAATAGGATAAATTACGCTATTTCTTATTGAATTTTATTTTCTCTCATGTTTTATTAATTTTACTTTTAATTTTTCTTCAATTTGTTCGATGAGTTTTTGAATTTTTCATATTTTAATCACTTAATTATTTTATTATTATTTTCGTATGACATTGATTGTTTTATTATTTTTGTATGCAGCATGTCATATTTAATTTATATTTTAAATTATGCCTTTGAAATTTACACCTACACCCCTGAATTCCTAAATTCCAATTACAACCCCATTCCACCCTGTCATCGACGGCCTCACTTGTAAGATGGGTACTGGACAGTGTATTGTTCTGTCGGTGTTCCAAATCAATGGAGAATAATCGGTAAACTATCATGCTCTGTGTAATCCGGCTCAACGCGACGATTCAATCCTACACTGCCTGAGTGCCACGCTTCACAGTCTGCTGATCATCGACGAGTCTTACCGTATGATAATTGAGTGAGAATGGTAATGGGGTTAAAGTAATAGAAGAGATTGCAGAGGTGGGTGAGAATGGGTGTGAGGGGGACGATAGAAGTTTTGGATGAGAATGTTTTGTCGTTAGTACCCATCTCACGTCGGTGGGAAAAATAATAATTGTATGAAATAATTTTAAAGTAGAAAATATTATTAAATTAACAACAATTTTTGTAAAAATAGAGATGATAATTACCCTCTGCGATGAGTGGGAAAAATGCTTTTGGAAGGGCCTCGATACCCTTATTGCTGGAGCTAAGGTTGATTGCCATCTTATCTACTCTCTTAAGTAGAGGCCTTGATTTGAGGGAGTTGAGTTAATACAAGGTAATATTTGTTTAAATACAACTTTCAACTTTTTGACATGGAACGCTTACACCCCTAAAGTCTATGGTACTCGAATCCAGATCCTTAGAAATAACAACAATTCATTTATTACGGAAGTCACTTGATTCGTGCGTCATTTTAAATTGATAACTGAAGAATGTATTTAGAAATGAAGGTTATTTATGGGTTACCTAGGTGCATGTATATGTTTTGAAGAGCACGCATTTTTGGCGAGTGGATACCAAGAGATCTATGAGTTGGTGTTTGAGAAAGGTTTTTACTATGTGTGATGAGGCTCGTCCTCTTTTAGTTGTCCATTTTAATATAGATGCTATGAACGCTCATGGGTTGTGAATGGAGATTAGGGTGAAGAATTTCTTGTGTAAGTTGGTTTGGTTTCTGTTTCATGTGCCAAAGCATACTATTATTGTTTGATTGATCATTTTGGGGAGACTTAATAAGAGAGACCGGCTCATTCGAATGGATATGATGATCGATGAATCGTGTGTCCTATGTATTGGTGGTGCTGAGACAAGTGATCACCTATTCTTTGGTTACTCTTTCTCGAAGACGATTTGGTGGAAGGTCCTGACCATCTGGGACTTGTAGAGGCCTATGGGTGGGACGGACTTTGAGCTGCAGTGGGCTGTTAAGAATCTAAAAAGTAAATCCCTCATCTTCTTCATCCTTAAACTTACCTGTAATGATCTCATTTGAGAGGTATAAAAAAAAACTCGTTTCGTCCTGTTGCATACGTAAATGTAAGGCAACCTTACATGACGTATTTGATGAGATTATGGAGATAGCAATGGGGGGACTCACATGATCATTATTTTTGTATTTTCATTCAAAACACTTCGATCGTCACATGAATGTGCTGCAACATTGGACAATACCCATGTGAATCCTTCAACTGCCTATAAAGAAGCCTTCCAACTACAACCCACTTCATCAACCTCCAAAAATTAGTACATTTTCTCTTCTTGATTCGGTTAGGGTTCGAAAATGGGTATCCATCTACCTTCGGTGATCCTTCATGCCAAGCAAGCTCTCAAGTTGCAGTCAAGGCACCAGACCGATGTGCCGAAAGGCCACATTGCGGTTTACGTCGGAAAATTCCGCAAGAGGAGATTCGTTGTTCCGATTTCGTACTTGAACCATCCTTCCTTCCTTGATTTGCTCAATCAGGTCAAGGAAGAGTTCGGATTTGATCACCCGATGGGCGGTCTTACGATCCCGTGCGACGAACATGTCTTTATCGATCTCACTTCTCAGTTGCATGCATGGCTGCTGAAAATATGAAGCCATGGTTGCTCGGTTTAGCCTGCAGATTTTAGATGTTTCGTTGATCGGATTGATTTTGTTCCCTTGTTGAATGTAAGAAATGTAATTGTTGATAGCTTTAGACAGCTAACGTAGATGTTTTCAAGGCACTTATCGGATCTCAAGGTGAAAGCAAGTGAGGTTTGGTTTCTTTTCAAGAACCATAAGTGCCTTGTCTTGATTATATGGATGCACACATGATTTATGTTAGGGAATCAACTTAAATTTTTAAAATTTAAAGGGGCAAATTTATATTTATAAAATTTTAGGGGACTGAAATAAATTTTAAATAAAAATAATATAAATTCTTTTTAAAATGTATGATAATTTTAAGGTACGTATATTTCAATAAGCGTACCAAACATTGAACACTCAGATTGTAAAGGATTGTTCTTACTACTTAGGTCGTGACTTTCTTTGTAAGATAAAAGAAAATGACAAATTTGGCTTTGGTCCTTGAACTATGTTCATGTAAGGGATTTAATCCTTATAATTTTACATAATTTAATTCCAATATTTTATAATATCATTACTTAGTCCAATTTATCATGTACATATATTTTTGTGTTTTCATTAGGCGAGGTGTTTTTTTATAATATATATATATGTCAATATTTTACTATAGTAGTTAATGATTTTAATCATTTAAATTAACCAATGATATCATAAAAATTGAAAATTAAATTATGAAAAATTAAATATATGAATAAATTCTGTCAACGAGTGTTGGTACAAGCAGTTGGGATTCAAGAATTTGAGTTTTCAAAGCCAAGTTCGAATCGTACCACTGTCACTCTTAGTGAGCAATACGTAAATTATTATTAAATCTCAATTGTATCTTATGTATGCCCTAGCCATGGACTAGGAAAGCCATCCTTACCTAAACTTTATTGATATATATATACTTGAATTTGAGCACAATAAAAAGTCAAAATTATAATTTGACCAAGTAGGTGGATAGATACGATATATGATCTGTTCAAGGATGGGGTTAAGGATATTATTTTTTATCCCAATACGATTATATTTTTTTATCCGACATTGTAAAATTTTGAGTTTGAGTTGGATTGAGTTTTTTATTTTAAGAATTAGATTAGATTGAATTGAAATTAGAGTTAAAAATAGAGAAAATAACATTAGTGACAAAAAATGTCTTATAATATACGATTTTAACCAACTTTTTTAGGATTTGCCAAAATGACCAACTAAATCGCAATGCGATCGATAATTCGCAACGCGATCTCCGGTATCGCAAATCAATTTCCAGATTCGCAACGCGAACTTCGACTATCGCATTGCGATTTATTCCAAGTTCGTTGCGATAGTCCAAAATCGCAACGACGATATTGCATTTGTTTCTTAAGAATTTTCTCTAAAAATATAGTATTCGCGCGGACGTGTCGAAGACACGTATTACCACGACCACGACCACGACCCGACCCGACCCGACCCGAGACGAGACAGACGGCGGCGACGGCACCGCGCGAGAGTCCCCCTTGTTCTCTATCACTCAACAAGGAAGTGGGAAAGCCAAGACTTAAATACCATTCCCAATAGTGTTTCCAATACTATGTGGGATTGAGCATTACCAACACTTGTTCCCAATACTATGTGGGATTGAGCCTTAAATAGTGATATTATTTTTTAATGTTTTGCTTAAAATTGCAATAATTGCGATTGATTGTAGATTGACTTTTAATTATGACATATTTAATCGTATAATATTAATGCAATTGGTTGCTGATTCAGTTGTTTTAAGGTGCATGATTGTTAATTGTTTCCTGAATAATCACATTGTATTGGAAACAAGTGTTGGTAATGCTCAATCCCACATAGTATTGGAAACACTGTTGGGAATGGAATTTAAGGTTTGACTTTCCCACTTCTTTGTTGAGTGATAGAGAACAAAGGGAACTCTCGCGCGCCGCCGCCGCCGTCTCATCTCGTCTCGGGTCTGGTCAGGTCAGGTCAGGTCAATACGTGTCTTCGACAGGTCCGCGCGATTACTATCTTTTTAGAGAAAATTCTTGAGAAACAAATGCAATACCACCAGTCGTTGCGATACCGGAGATCGCGTTGCGAATTATCGATCGCATTGAGATTTAGTTGGTCATTTTGGCAAATCCAAAAAAAAGTTGATTAAAAATGTATATTATAAGGCATTTTTGGTCAATGAGGTTATTTTCTCGTTAAAAATATTCTACTGAACTCGATATGACCCAAGAATAATATTATAATTGACCTTAACATAATTGTTATAATACTTCTCTCTTATTTTATTCAATTACATCCTATTTTATCTAATAAAAATAATAATATTATATATATTTATGTTGGGTCGAATTGAATATGAATTTTTATTTAAAAATCAGATTGATTTTTAGATCAAATAAAACTTTCCTAAATTCATATTGTGTCGGGTGACGGATGATGAGTAGAGAAATGATATATTCAAATCAAATGACGGATAATAAGAAAATATTATACTTAATTTAAAAGAACGAGTTTGGAACATAAAGAATAGTAACGTGTCTATTTTGTAACTTTTAATAGTCCCAATAAAACAACTCTGTATTATCATAAGATCATTTTTATAATTTTTAATAGTTGATAACTTAATAAAGCAATATCTTATAGTCAAGGTAGGGCTGTAAACGAGTCGAGTCGAGCTCAAGTATTGCTAAGCTCGACTCAACTCGAAAACTCTAACATAGAGCTTGACTTGACTCGAAAACTCGCGAGCCTAAAATTTTCAAGCTTGACTTGAACACGAAACCATAAACTGAAGCTCGTAAAAGCTCAAAATGAAAAAAAAAATAAACTTAACTCGATTGAAGCCTCACACTCGAACATGAACCTTAAATACATGAAAACCTTATACTGTATTTTTTAAAAAAATAAACACATAAATTTTAATATTTTATTAATATTTTAAAAAAAATAAAATCTTAATATGTTATATTTTCGAGCTGCTCACGGGTTTTTTCGAGTCGAGTATCAAGTAGCTCACTTTGACTTGTTAAGAATTCGAGTCGAGCTCGAGTCGAGTCTATTCGCGTCAAGTATTTATCGAGTTTTTATCGAGTCAATCTCGAGTAACTTACAATCTATCTCGTCTCATTTACGGCCTTAAGCCGGGAAAAATTATTAGACTGGCGTACAAATAATATTTATCTATCTTATTTTTTTCAAAGTGAATTTTTATCTCTTTTTTACATGTAAATATAGGTGAGCAAAAATCGACTTGTCTCGAAAAACCGATTTTTTCAACTCGATTCGACTCGAATTAACTTCGAGTTGTAATTTTATAAACTCAACTCGACAAAAAAAAAAATTCAAGTTAGCTTTAAAGATTTATTCGGAAGATCTTGAGCATCCTTGAAAAATTCTCTTGTTTCGTTCCTCCCACGATTAATAGATAAAAGCGCACCACGAGAGCTTTAAGATGGTGGTAAGGAGGGATTTACCTCTTCAAGAATGACTAACTTGAGTAATCATATCTTCCCAAGACAAAGAGGACTTAAAATAAATGCTCTCTAGTTTCGGGAACTTCATTATAGATAGGGCAATTAACATCATCGACTATTCCCATTTTATGCAATCTAACCCGAATAGAAAGTCTATCAAAAAGAGACATCCATGCAATTAAACTATGTTTAGGGACATGTAAAGGGAACCATACCAGTTTTTGCCAATTGGACTTTTCACCTTTCTCTCTAATTTCCTCCCAAATTGTTCGAATTTCCTTTGCTCCAGTTAAGAAAATTGCAGCAACTTCTGTTCTTGCTTGGAGCATTCGGTTTATGATCCAGCTGTGGTTAGAGTTTACATCAATTTGCCAGATGTCCCTATCTTTTAGAATATATTTCTTGATCCACGCAACCCAAATTGATCTTTCGCCAGTAAGAACTTTCCTGATAAGGTTGATAATACAAGCCCGGTTTCAGGATTTCAAATTTTTCAGACCAAGACCGCCCTCTGACTTCGATAGGCAAATCTTGGGCCAGCTAACTCTTGCACCAGTATCTGACTTATCGGATTCTTTCTAGAAAAATCTGGAACAAAGACGTTAACTGTTTAGATAGTGTAAATATTAATCTTTGTAATGTTTGGGGTATAGTTTAACCGATCATTCTTTTGTATGTTGGTTATTCATATTTTGATGTTGTAATCGGTTGATTGGGTATTTTGAGTTTGTAATTGACTTTGGTTCCTTAGACAATAAAAACAATTTATCCACATAAAAATATTCAAGTTCAAATGAAGTTGTAAAATAAAACTTAAATAACTCAAAATTTTTAGTAATAAGCGGATTAATTTTCAAGTTTAAGTCGAATACTTTGATTTTGTATAATATATGTATATCACATATGAAAAAAATACGAAGAAATATATTTGTATTATATATATAGTTATAAAAATCCATTTATATTGGAATCAAATAATATTATAAATATTTATAATTAAATTTAAATAGAAACTCGAAAAAAATTGACTCAACTCGACTCGAAAAAATTTAAGTTAATTTCGAGTTGTAAAATAAGACTCGTCAACTCGAATAACTCAAAAAATTTTGACTTAATCAAATGTTCAGCCCTACTTATAAATAAGAAGTAAGTCATTATTTAAAAGTTATTTTAAAATTTACTGATTTTAATTATTAAAACCATAAATAACGTGATAAACCAGATCTATTAAATAATTCTTCCCAATTTATTTGACAAATCACTCACGGCAGCAATGTGAGAAATTGAGAAAGCATCTCTTACCGAACCAAAGCACAGTCGAAAGTTGAAACAACACCTTCCAGTTTCTTCCAGCGCAGCAGATTATTTACGAACATATTTGAGGATGGGCATGAGTCGGTTGGGATGGGATTTTTTGTCCATCCAACTTATTCGAAAATTATAATTTTCCATTTCATTTCAGTTAGATCCGAAAAAATATATCTTCCACCCGAATTGAATATGTCTCAATTT